AGTAATAAACTGGCTTAACCTGCGGACCGACTCACTTTTTTGGCCATGAGGAGACTGTTCAACATCGCTTGCAACTGAGTACTCTCATGTTGCTTACATAACCTTACCTTACCGAGACCTGTTCTCGCGAAAATTGCCAATCGAATGCGATTTACGACTTTTCCCTCTACCAGGCGATATTTTTTTTCTGAATCACCCGATCCCCCACGGGTTTCCCCTTTGCTTTGGTATGTTCTCAGTCTGTCTACTGGCTCATGGAACACCTAGTTGGTGCATCTAACAAATACATTGATAAATAAACAACCAGTCCAGCCTTACAGAGACGTTTATATAAACACAAATGAAACATGATTCGTTAAGTATGAGTCATTACCCCCCACAAGGCCACCCATCATTCTAATCATTCACATCCTTTCCCCGTGTGAGTAATTAAAAGGAGTAGCGTATTCTTGACACCACAAAATCACAAATTTAACCTACACTTGGTATTTTAGCTATCCTAGGCAAATTCGCATAAAACAGCACATTGACCATCAAATAAGGTGAATTTTCACCAGACTTACTAGTAGAGTGAAAATTGTAGCTGGATTTTTTGATAACAAATAATCTAAACGAACCATGAGCATTTACATTTTTTAGGATAGGCCAAAACTATGAAAATTTGAATTTCAAAACTGTTCAGATAGTTTCTCAAAAAGGAGGGGAATCTCATTTGAAATATTCACTTTTCCCCTCCTCTACCGGACCGCGCCCTGACTACGGTAACATTCCCAGACTGGAGCACTTTGTAAATAATTATCATTGCAAACAAGTCAACAAATAGATGCTCGTTAACGGTTCGGATTACTATAAGGAGAAGACTAAAATTAGAAAGCGATCTGGCCAGTTCGATATGGATTCGACGTTACTCCGTTTTAAGTGGAGGAGGGCTATTGGAGGGCAGTAAGTTTCAGTTATACAATACCGGTTTATCTCTGATAGCTGTCTTAGTCAACGAAAAACTTATTTTATTAGCTCTAGCACATACAATACATTCTATTCTAACAATGTATCATTGTGATTCTGCCCCGGTTCAGGCCCGGTTTGAGGATGGACTGATCTATCGTGCCCAGCAATTATCGACATTTATCACATACTGGTGTACAAAGTCTAAAGAAGAAAGTAACATTCTAATGACCCGTCATTGACATGACCAGCTCTTAAAAGCCATGGACCCTACATATGAACCCTACCACAGTATACCAGAATATACATATATATACAGGATCGATATCCGCCCAGATCAACCAAGCCTTTCATCTCTCCGGGTCCGTTGTTTGGAACCTGATTTGTTTGAGAGGGTAAAACGCTGACCTGTACATCGGCTGGCCACTGCGAGTCATTGTATAGGCCACATACGCACTCGAGGCGTAACCACGATTCTGAATGGAAGTCGAATGTGGGGCGCATCCATCAGTCGGGATATGACTGACGCCGAAGACTTTACCCCTATTCCATCAAAGAAAATAATGCCCATAAAAATTTCAATTTTGCTTTAAAAAGAAATCCCCTCGAAGTCTCTTCGTTTGCCTTCAGACAGTAAAGAACCATATAAAGTGCCGCCAGAGTATTACCTATAGTAATAAGCCAGCAAAAGTGGTCCACAAAACCGACCTTCTTCGAAAATCCTTCATTTCTATTGGAATCTACTCCCAATCACTTTAGGATAGGACCTGGACTGATAAGGAGTGTTGAGCAAGCAGGGAATCGCGAGAAATGGTATAGTTCAAGTCTTTTCGGGAGCAGTTCCTCAACGGTCTACCTATGCCTACTTCACCCGACCTACTCCTCAATTATTGAGGAAGGAAGCACGATCAAAAGGGGTTTTCGATAGCTGTCTCCCAGCATATAAGTTAAACATGGATTAGAGACCGATTTCTGGTGTCTCTGAAGCAACATCGAGAGCAGGCTGGCCGAGATCCGATAAAAAGAGCTGTGCAGAAGCGAGGAAAAAAAGAGGAAAGAAAAAAGTAACAAAACGGCTTGACGGCCTTCATCAGACTCAAAAAACTGCTGCCAATGAGAAATGTATAGCCGTTGCATTGTCAGAAAGTGCGAACATACATCCAGCCGCGTTCACTGAGGTACTTCTACTTTCTAACGAATTTTACGACTTTACTAAGTGTTACTGGTTTGAAACGAGACGACGCAATCCACTCATAATACACTGAGGTGGGTATACCAGAACGAGAACAAGTCGAGAGTGCTTCCGCCTACAGGAGAGTAACATCGTCGATGGCGTCGCGAAACATCGCGAAAAAATCGCTTCGCGCGCGAGTTCCCCGAACACCTTCACCACGATCGCACCGACCGCACGCGACGTCCGGAGCTCGTTCGACCGAGGGGGCGTGGTCCACTGAGAAAACGTTTATAAATGAAGCTCGTCAACGGTAGAGGTGTCATCGCTCGCTTCAGATTGAGAGCGTTCTTCTCAGCGACTGGTAGCCTCGTTTACATCGTCGTTGTTACTACCGTATCCGAGGTCATTTTGCATGGTTTCTGACTATGCAGTGCATTTCTTGAGGTCGTTCAGCTGCCGGTACATCTATGAATCGGTGAAAATCTGAAATTCTTCTGATGCTCTGACAAACGTCTACTTCACTTATACGACTGAAGTCCGCCCATTCTTGAGAACCGAAATCAAAAAGTCTCATTTTGTTTGATTTAATTTTCTGTTCTGCTTTTGCTTGTGCACCTATACTTGCAAAGTTCTATATGTTTGCTGGAAATTGCTCGAGCTTCTACTAATTGAGCCATTGACATCATAAGGGTCATACCAGCGGTTTGCATTGCTCGGTCATCAAGGCTTTGAACTTTTTATTTGTTATACTCTCCATGATTTCCTTGCCTGTCTGAAAGTGTTACCAGATAACTGTTACTGTTACTGTAGTGTTACTCGGTGACTTTCGCTCTTAGAAGGTCTGAATCTTTCATTATAGTTACGAAGAGTCGTGAAAACATTGCTTTACCAATCTCCTTTTCTTAGAGTAGGATCTTAGACTAAGTGGACAACCCGCCTTCTCATAGAATTCATTCTCTACTTAAATTTTGTGTTGACCCAAAAAATGATTTCTGTTGTTTCTAGTTATTTTTTAGATATCTTTCAATGGAATATAGCTAATCTTGTTGATATTTCTTAGAAATGTACGAGGTAGTCTTCACATTAATGTGGTTGATGGTAAAGTATCCTCTGCAGATACACAAACACTCCTTGAATTCGTAGAAGTCTCGAAAAAACACTGAAAATTGGAAAATAACTAGGGATTTCGCTTTTACTTTATTGTTATCAAGATCTTGAAAGAAGTCGGAAGGGCATGTCTCGATATTAAATGCGATTGTAAACTAAATATAAAGAGATAAGGGTTCAAGTACCCAGCTTCCTTCATTCCCTTTGAAGCGCCATGGAATTTTCATCTCCATTCCAAATCGTGCTGTCCATGGGGAGTGCCTTGCCTGGGCGATGATTTACGGGAAACCTAGAGTCTTTATTCTCCTAGGCAAAGCTTAGAGCATATCACCAAGCCAAAAAGCATGGAATGAGGAATGGATAGGAGAGCTATTTAACAGGAGCCTACCAGAGCTCGGATAGCATTCTTGATGGAGTATTTACTTGGGTGAAAGAGAAATCGGCGGATCTGGAAACGCCGTGCTTTGACTTCCTAATCAAAACCAATGGAGAGTTCTCCAACACCTAAATTAAGACATACTACTAATAAAATATACCCATCGATACATTGCATCATTAATGGGAAGATGTTGGAAATATGCTTTCCAGCCTTTCGTTTTTCAACCTTTCGACAATAACCTCTGAGTAAAAATGAAGGCTTGTGAAGGGCTGGAGCTCTTGAAACACTTAGTTCTGCAGTGAGGAAGGATCAAAAGAAGAGAGAAACCTTTGGGCCCATACTTCTAGTCTTATGGCCTATCTCACCCCTCTTATCCTAAACTATGAAAACAAACAATGAAACTAAACAACTATGAAAACTAATATATCGAAGTGAAACCAGCTGATAAACGGAGAAGAAAGAGAGCCTCACAGAGTAACAATATGTTCCCTTATTGCCTTTTACCCCATTAATATGTCTCATTCGTAAATAAGTCGAACCGATGTGGACACTTACAGCGGAACTGGATTCCATTCAAGGGTTAGGTTGATCGTTAAACAGATGGGAGTTTTCGAATCCCAAAAAACTGTCATTCTCGAAATGAGGTCTCGAAAATGATTTCAAAATTATAACATTCAAAAAATAATTCTCCTCATGGAGTTCCTTTCAAACTACTTCGAATTTTTATGGATTTTCCTGTGCCAAATCACACTTCCAATCATGCTCTTCCTATCCTCTCCTGGGCCCATTACTGTAGCCTTCGTGGGTTCTTCATTGAATGCAAATTAACTTCCCTGTGTACGAATGCCTCCTCCCATGTCCAGAAAATTCTACAAAGGACAACTTTTCAAACAAAAAGGGACCAGTGTAGGTGGGTATGCTCTGACAATATCCTCTGAATATTTCCCTCATTCTAAGGACAGGATCGTCCCTTTCTGGCCTAACTATTTATTTTCTTTCATGCCTTCTTGACAACTAGGGAATTAGATCTTTCCTATGATATAGATCATCTAGGAAGACAAATTAAAGCACATCCATGCCATACTTCAAAAATGCACCATGCACTTGTCTTACTGGCTGATTGACCAGAGTGCAGGACATTTCAGAAAAGGGAAGTTCATCACTTCTCAGTTCATGACCAGGAATTGAATTGTTGCTGTGTGTTTCAAATGGCGCCGCTGCCACAACTGTGGCCGAGGATCGAATTTTGCATCATCTTGAAAGCAATCCACCTACTTCTTCTTCTGTTCTCCCTAGGCTTTACATACTTTCAAAACCGTAGAGGGTAGGAAACAGTTTTTCGTCTTTGAAAGAACATGGTAATTCCCTATCTATGAGCACCGGTTCGGAAAGCACTCAGTTTTGCAAAGCGATTTCCAGGAATTTCAGCCACTCAGACTCCGAAGGGGCGACCCCGCCAAGATTCCAGTGTCGTGAAACTGGCATACGATGGCTTTGGAGAACCCAAGAGAGAAACTCTTCAATACCGAGATCTTGATTAGGAGTCACGAGCATGGCGCATCCAATTAAAAAAAAACTGGGCGCCAAGATCTCCATCGCCTTTTGGCCAACCTTCTCACTTCCAACGTGCTCAGCCTCCGCGACCAAGTACGAGATATTCCACATCCCTCTAGGGCTTCAAAATCCCTCCCACAGCTATGCCTTTTTGGTTGCGCCATGAATCCAGCCATCATTCAGAATTGTAAACGTAATTGATTACCCAGAAAAAACAGATGTTGTTTTTTTTATCTGCGGGAATTCCTGGGATTTCGTCATTTTGCGGCTATGTTTGTACAGGTGTGCTGATGAACGAGGGTCAGCTATGCAGAGCATTACGATTTTTTCTGCCTTTTCCAGTGATTGTTCTCTTCGAACCTCATCATCAACAAAGTGAACACAATCGGGAGAAAAGCCATACATTGTGTGACTAATAGGAATGCTAAAAACACAATAACATTATCGCCTTGTCAGCAGAATAATTGGCGACACCGGTTCTGCCATACTCTATCGAACTTCGCCACATTCAATTGTATCGGACAACTTCATTGTGATTCCATACCTCCTCTAGCTTCAATCTGAGTAACAGCCCGAACTCGAGTGCCCTCTTTCATCGAACTTGTGGCTTTAGTTTACAAACGACTGCCGTTTTGCCTCGTTACCATGACCGTCCATTGACTCAAGTTAATTCAAATTCCTTTCAGGAACATCACCATAATGCAGGCTGTCACGTTAATCGTCCTCGTCGCCGTACTCATTCAGGTAAGAGTCCCTAGGTAACCCCCTTTGAACTCCATTTAGCCCCAAAAACTGGCTTAGTCCAGCCCATTACGCTCGGTTACGTAAAATGCGCGACGAGACCAATTAGGCTAGACTTTTAACACCGTTCTTACGACATCGTACACTTTTGAATTAGCCCCGATTCGGTCTCCTACTCGATTACTTTTTCATACTAAGTTAGGTGTTGTATGGGGTGGTATGGTAAGTCGGTAACATAGAAAAATATTCAGTGGTCCAAAAAAAAAATCGCCATCTAAAAATTTAAATTTGAAAGTCCAGGCAAAAGTAAATAAATAAATAGAGAATATCGAGACTGATTCGCTTGTTAATTATGGACGTATTCATGAAGATGTTCGCTGCTCGGGCTCCCTTGAGCAGCACAAAGCTCCCGGAGGGACACCATATGCCATTTAGCTTTGCCGTAATCATTACTTGACTTTACCTTCATCTTAGTTTAAGAGTAAGAGGAGGATTCTTCGTTGCGTTGATCGTTGGTGATAGTTGGTGGGGAGCACTCCCACACAGGAGTATCCTACTTCTCCTAGCCTGAGTGAAAAAACGACCAGAAAACCCCTGGAACACCCAGCAAACTGAGCTACTTTCAACTTCTTCACTGAATGGAGTAAACAAAATCAGCTGACTTAAATCAGCACCTTTAGCCAAAACTTCGGCTCCTTACCCACTGCATCAGTTTCTTCGAATGCCCACTCTATCTTCTCTTTTCAAATAACCCTATTGAGCCAGAATAACAACCTCCAAGTGCAAAAAGTCTCCATCTATTTACTTGACAACCAATCACTCCACTGAAGAAATTAACCTTTTATCGCATTCTGCCTAACTCGAAAATTAAAAGCACGTGCGGCAGATGGACCTGCCAGGGTCGATCATTTAAGAATAGTTTTGGCCAAGGTGTAAATTCTTGGAAAAAAAAGAGACGGATTACAAGTACAGGGTCAATTTAGAAACAGTAGGGTTAATGATGCTCCTAAAAGTTCCTAATCCGATCAAAGAATGGATGGAGCCGGTTTGACTAAGGGAACGCCATCATCCCACGTTTCCGGAAATGTTGGTATTGGCACTCGCCCGTGCACAGGAAACGGAGAGGACCGAGAAGAAGACTATGCAGCGTTTTCTGCAAATCACATTAGAGAGGGTGTCGTTTGAGAAGCTCTTCGAGTTGAAGGAAATGTGTTAGGAGAATACTTGGAAGTGGATCCTAGCCGCCGTTTGTCACCCTCCTTTACCCTCACACATCTTTTCTGGTCGGTCCACTTCTTCGAAGAAAATCGGGAACGAGCGTGGTAGGATGTTCAAGAGCTTGGGTGTTGTCTAATGCCAATTTCTCAGAAGTAGAAAGCGAACAACCCGATGAGGGAGCGCCACACACCGGAGTTTTGATTCGTGGTCGAAGGACATCTGAATGACCATCTGACCTCCACTGTTCGGTTCCGGTCACGGTCGAGGGAAAAAAGGAGAACGCTTTTGAAGATTCTGAAGATATGATGGAATGGAGGAAAAATAGCAGATAATCCTGGAACCTCGCGAGGTTACCACCGAGGACAGGAGAAGAGCATATGATTTCTTCAGAGAACTGTGGCCCTGAGGCTAGCCAACTGAGACGGAACAGGTGGCCTCAAATTCGATAAAGCGGAAGTCGAGCCGGATGCTGATCCCAGAAGTATGCATACGGAAGCAAAACTGCACCCTAACCCCTGCAAAAAGTTCGTTTTCTAGGAACAAAGTCTTCAAGGAAGTCGCCGATAGTTTCATGTGATATCAAGGAATGAATTCTTTGCATACTTTATAGAAATGGTCGCTGTTTAGCGATGACGTAGTGGATGATGATCACCTGAGACAATGATTCAGCGTTTCTTTCCCACTTATCGCCTTATCAATACACCGAACACCTCCGGATGGTTGTTCGATGATCCTGATAGACTTAGCTATCTCCATGGGAGCGTCGTCCAATCATCATCATCAACAGATCTTGTTTGCGAAATCTTTAACCCTAATACACACCCTTCTGAACACGTATGCTAAGTAACCGGACCTGAATGATTGGATTAACTATAGTAATGTGGACGTGGTTGCTGTTAGCTATTCCGGGAAACGTTTTGCGCTACCATCTGACTTTGGATGCGCCCAGATGTGTTACTGGAGACATTCATGGATACACAGATCGAGCAGGAGCAACTCCGGGGCACAGAGGGATGCGTACGGGCTGTGGGTGTGGGAAGTGGAGAAGGAGAGATGTTAATAGTTTCAAAGAGGCTTTCTGTCAACTGTTACCTTTGATGGTCTAAAGTGACGTAGCATTCAACCCCGATGATCGACACCATAGTCATCCAGCTTTTCCAAAAGGAAGACGAGCAGTTGGATGGGTCAGGATCGGCGTTCGAACAACACCCCAGCTCCGACTGCTTCGCACAGGCTTTGGGAAAGCTTGGTCTCATCTTCGTTACAAGCAAAATCAACAAGACGCCCAAGCCGAAAAGGTCAACCTGACCGAATCAAAGGCAGTGAGGAAGGAGATCGATTGACAAAGATATTCCCATAGAAGTAAGTAGCCATTCCCTG